TATATAGGTTATCCAGTATCGCAACATAATAATAATTGTTTCACCCCGTCACCACTCACCACCCACCCATGTATTGATGACATGAGATGGGATTTACCCATAGGATTTTTATTATCAATTTTATATTTAAAACTATTTTTATCAATTTCAATACTTTTAACCATACAGTTGTGGTTGAAATAAGTTATAAACTTATAACATTATTTTATTGTTAATCGAATCATTCATTATGGTTAAATATTTTACGAACTATAAAATATAGTTGCAATTACCGTTAATTATATTGAAAATGCCAAAAATTCCAACTATTTACTTTTAGTATTCTCAACGTAAAGTCTTAGTTGGTGTAATCTTGTGTATTGTTAGGCCAACCAAAATATTTCCAACTATTTACTATAACTAAATTATTTTTTTCCGTGTATCTTACTTATCTACTCTCCCAGTATCCATAGCTACAAGTGAACGTTCGTTTTTTTCTCTTCGTAGGTTGAAAACGTATTTACGTAATAAAACAGGTGAAGAAAGGTTAAATGGATTAACATTGTTAAATGTACATAGAGACATAGAAATTAATTTTTAACAAACACTATTTATAAAAATCTTTATTTTTAAACATGGAAATTATATTATATTAATGATATTTATATTATTAAATCTATTTTTCTGGTTTTTTTTTGCCAATTCGTCCAGTACTTCGTCTACAGTTATATTGATAACCTCACGATGAACAACCATAGTGGTTAAACCATTGAGACGACTCTAAAATAATATAATTACACAATTCATATAATAATATAATATATTATGTTAAGCATTAAGTACTAAATTTAAATTTCATACATTCTTATAATTTAACTATAAAGAAAATGAAAAAATCTAAAAATTTTATTTCAATTAATATTTTAGTGTTTTATGTTTGAACTGTTAATTTTATTCGAGCCTAGAGACTGTATAATAACTAATAAGTACAGTATATTTATTTTTTTAAATAGAAAATAGATGAATACCTATATTATATTATTTATAATATGGATGAATTATAAATATTTAAAAAAAGGTCATGGGGGGATCTATCCCCCTCATCCACCCCCGTTTGACCGCCACTGTCTTAACACAATCACATTTGATGAGTGGATCTTGAAAGTGCTTTGTCAATTATTAAAAAAATTTTATGATGTAACTAATGAGATAAGTTCAGAAAATTATGTATCTAAAGTTACAATATTTTCAAGGGCAATGGTGAACTATGTATCTGAAATTTGTTCAGTGGCAAAAATTCTAACAGAGAAATTGCATTCAAGTTTTGACCAGCTTGAAATTAATATAGTTTTGATGCAATCGATATTATTAGATCCACGCTTCAAAAAACAAGGGTTTCCAAATAATGACAAGTACCAATCGGCATATCAATCGCTGTCAAAGAAAGTACAAAATTCACCTATCGGACAAGACGCTCAAGAACCAGAAACAATAGTTTAAACCAGAAACAATAAACAATTTTGGACCGGAGACTATTTGGAAGGATTGGAAGGATTTTGATACCAGAGTTACTGCAGTAAGTGGTGGTTCGAATGTGACAGTAGCTGGTATATTAGAATTGGTACATTGCAGAACCTTTATTAAAAAGAACGGAAGATCTATTAGTTTGGTCGAATGAACGCAAATTAATTTATTCAAAACTCTACCAATTAGTTTGTCGTAGGTTATGCGTTGTAGCCACATCAGTTCCATGCGAGCGCATTTTTTCCAAGTTGGCATGATGTTGACGGAGAGACGGTCAAGACTAACGACTGACAAAGTTGAGAAGTTGTTGTTTCTAAATCATAATAAAGATTAAAATTATTTTATATTTATATTTTTATTTAAAGTTGTTATAAATTAATGAGTTCAACGTGTAAAAAGGAAAATTTTATTTTATTAACAGGTTATTTAATTTTTTTTTATTGAAAATTAAAAAAGTAGACTGAATGGTTTTATATTTGATAGTTAAAAATAATTATCAACTCGCAGAATTTTCCCTGTACTAACAGAACGGTCCTAAATAATGTTAAAAGTACTTACATGGTTCGGAACGCATATTAAATATAAAATGGTATTTGTCATTTCGTCGGTCTGCAACCTTAGCTCTTTTCTTTATGGTTATAAGACAAGTGTGACTAACAATATTAACAATTAATTAACATTTAACAGCATTATATATAAAATATAATATAATAACGTAAGTACCTACAGTAAATTAGTAACTAGTAAGTAGTAAAACTTAAGTCACGAAATAATAAATACTTTACAAATTACATAGTCTTAATATTAAATAATAATTACTCATTACTGATTACCTGGACATGGATCAATGATCAATAAAACTACAGATATATATATATATATATATAGATAAGATAAGTTTATTATCTATATCTATGATACTATATTATTATACTGCAAATTGTAAGTGTAAAATATGTTGTAACTTATAAGTGTGACCAACGTCCTTAACAGTGTGTTAAATAATAAATTTCATTTGACTCGGTCCGATCCGATTTCGTCTGAAAGAAAAGTTTCATTAAAAACCGTCAAAAGAGTCGTTTGACTTAAAGATCGATTTGATCGAAAGATTGAATACTTTTTGGTACATCATTCGGTCGCGACTCAGTCACTTGAATGATTCGTTCATTTTGATTTGGTCAGTCGTGACCGACCCACCTTTATTTATAATAATGATAAAGGAGATAAGATTCTACGAATTTGTCATCCAAATATACTAGATTAGGTTATTTATAAATACTTAATTTTGTAATTTTGTATGAATTCATTCGAATTTTAGCGTGTCCTGAAACTTAATAAGTTTGAGTGCATGTATATGAAAATTATATGTAGAAAGTATGTATTGTATACATTATTTGTATACATTATTTTATGTTGTACATAAATTATTATACATAGTATAAGATGCGCAATGGTGTTATGATTTTGGCTATCTCCCAATACCTAGTCTACCTCCGTTTTGTGTGCTACGTAACTTTAAATATGAGTATAGTATGCGGTCTACCAATATTATGTGATCTACCTATAGCTAGGAATCTCCAGTCATTATTATTTACTTTTACTATTAACTATTACTATTATTAATTATTATTTACTCAAAATCGTTAAAAAAATGAGATGTACTGATGAAGACCTCTTAGAGAGGTACTTAGCCGAGTATTGGTGGTGAGGATTAAATAAATCTGATAATATTTTTGATGCTTTCCTTAGAGATCTGAAATTATGCTTTGTGGATCCTTAATAAATTAAATTTTTTTTTATTTATACTTTTAATATTATTACGGTAGACCACGTTCATTTTGTTAAACCGCATATTTTTGTGGTAGTTCGCATATTGGGAGATAGCCGTGATTTTATCAGGTAAAATGGGATTGGGGCGGAATCGGGTTGCAAATTTTTGGCGTGGTGTAATTAATCGGGTAAAAAAAGGAAAATTTGCGCAATCGTGATGCAGCCTATTAAATGTTATCGCCTTTAATTGTGGCTTACAGGTGACTATTGTTGTGGGTAAAATAAGTTTTGCCCAGGGTTTCGCAAAAGGTAACGTCAGCCCTGACCAGGAGTTCTGTTTTGACAAATTAGGAATTTACAACTTGTATCTACCTAACCATGTAACCAGTGTTGTGCCTAGATAACTAAAATTTTATCTAGTTAAAGATAAATATGAACCTAACCGTGTTAGAAATACCCAGGTATGCATTTACTAATGAAATTAATTTATTTTATTGACGCATTACAATTATTTATTCTATATACATAAACACAGGTGATGTAGTCGGTACCTATACATTAATCGGCTGCAGGCGTTACGGCTACACCGAGAACGACTATGTACTAATACGATAATAATAATAATATAATGTTTTAATACAAGGAGATAGTGTAGTGTATGCGTGTGTGCTCCAAGCGGCAGCTGCATTTTTTCCCTTCTATACATATGAGTACATCATTCCCAACCGTGTGTCGTGTATATATAATGCGGGTGAAATCGAAAAACAATGTATTGTACGTAGGTACATTATGTTATCCAACATACCTAATTTACTCGTACTTACGCGCGTACATCACGCAGCAACACGCGTGAAATTGTTATAGAAATAATAATAATAACGAATGTCAGAACGACGCGTCCGGATCCCTCGTGCTACGGCGAGACGGTGCAACGCTACGAGTCATTTTTTTATTTTTATTATTATTACGTTCGTGGATCGAAATGTAAACGCGGGTAATGTTGGTCGGTCCGGTGCGGCGGTCGTTTTCAAGTGTACCGTATAACCGTGTGTGTTTTCGTGCGTGTGTGCGTGTATTGCCGTCGTCTGAAAAAACGTATTCACCTACGTGTATTAATGCACGTACACTTGCACAACAGAAATCCGAAAAGTGATTCCAAATATATTACACGAGGGGAAAAAAAAATATATATATATGTATAGAGATTTATTTATGTACACGAGAAACAGATAGATAGCGGCCGCGGCGAAACGACGACAAGAGCACATAGCTATATTATACATATACATAATATGATATTGTACCGAGGCGGCATCTGCGATGATCGCGAGAAAAGGAGACAGATTGAGTGAGACGGAGAAAAGGCCAGGGAGATGTGGAAGGTTTTATTTTATTTTATATTATGCAATTTATTATGTACAAGTGTTGTGTGTGACGGAGAGGGTACGCGCGATGTATATAATAGTACGGCGGCTGCGGCGAAGACCACACACGACGCCGTCGTCACCGTTGCCGCCGCTGACGTCCATTGGTGTGTGCATGCCATCGCGCGCGCACGCGCTCGTCGTTGTTGTCCCCTTCCCGGAACAGAACTCCAACACGGTCCCCGGTGGGCGGCGATCTGTCGACCGACGCCATTTTCCCGCCTCGCCCCTTCCCGTTGACGGTTCGGCCCCCCCATGCCCCCGCCGCCCGAGGGGCGGCAACCGCCGCTCCACCACCGCCGCCGCCTCATCCGTCCGTCGAACGCCCGTCCGTCCGGTCATCAGGTCCTCGCAGAAGCGAGTGCACCTAGTCTCCCGCGCTCCAGTCAGATCAAAGAAGTTACGCATTCGTACACGCATACGCGTTACAACCACTAGTATTATTATTATTATTATTATTAATATTATTAATATCGTGGCCAGAAGTGTACGCTGCGCACGTATTTTTCCGCAACACGTCGTTTCATCATTTTTTTCCTGAACAACGGACGAATTTCAACCTTTGTTTATGCCGTTCTAGTCGTCGTAAAAACCATGGCATCATTAAGCTCTCACGCCAACGCTACATCGCCGAAACGAAGATTCAACAGCATTCTCGTGTGGTCTGCATAGCGTTGATTGCTCATTGGGAAACTATTGAGGAATTAATTGGTGCATCATCGTATACGGCATTGCATTCAGTAACACACAACGCGTACCGGTAATTATACATTTTTTTTATATATATTCTGGTTATTGTTATGACGATGGACGAAATAATCTTTTATGTTAAGTCGCCAATGTTAGGTATTTATAGAAAATACAATAAGTAGTTATTAAGCCGACTAGATATAATCAACTTATAATTCTTCTTCGAAATCAATCACTTTATAATATAGCCTTCCAAAAGGAAATTACATTCATATAAATAATACATCAGCCCAATGTTATTAAATTATAATGTAGATATGTATTTCATTATAAACAATGGTCACTTATATATCTAGAATTTTTGACAAACACTGTGATATATGAAAATAAAATAGCCATTATTATTTATCTAGAAACTTTTTTTTTGAATTCACCGCTTAACCACTAAATTAAAAGTAACTATTTAAGATCGACTACCATTGAACTATTGATTATTTTTGATTTGTACCTTTATATAATTAAAATATATTCTACATTAATTCAAAATGTATTCCATGACTAAATTTGAACATAGATGTTAAAAATAAATGTTATATTTAAGATAAATAAATAAATAAGTAGAAGGTGGGGTAAAAATAACGAATTTGTTATATTTATAGTATATAAAGATTAATATCTATATAGTTATGTAATTTTTCAAGTTAAATATTATACGTGTGTATATAAGCTGGTGTATAATATTATAAATACGTCAATAAAATATTGATTTTTAAAATCTTAATTCTTACGTATTTACTTGTATTTTTTTAATTTTTTTAAGAATCAAGAAACAGTATTTTCTAGATTAATATAGTGAGCATATCACTATATCATAAAATAATCTATATGAAATGTAGGTACTTTCATAATACGGAAGACGTTTATACGAATTTTTCTAAGAAACCTAGAGATTATAATTATTTTTAATGTTAGTTTTCAATCAAAATGTAGGTTATTTTAATATTTATGAACAACAATTTGATTTTAATTACACCATTATTAGGCTTCCTATATACATAATCCATAAAGTCAATTAATAGTCAATCACTTATCCATTAATTCTTCATTCAATATTATTAAATTATAGAAAATAATTGAAATATATTTTTATTTAACTTTAATTATTTAATAAATTAATTTTATACATAATGGTAAATAACCAAAATCCTAATCAAAATATTAAAATTAAAAAAATCATAAATATTCCTAAGATTATTTGTATTACATACCTATAGTATATATATATATATATATATATATATATTATATATACTATTTATTTTTTAGATATTTTATATTGTATAAATATTAATAATTTAATTTATGTTATTCTGCAACTAAAAATCTTTGGAAGTATTTCTGTAGTTAAAAGCCCAAGGATTACATATTGTGTATAATAAATACGCATTTGCAGGCAACAATATGCTATTTATTTTTACTAAAAATGTCTAAATTATACAACTAATTAGTAATTGAATAATATATTCATGTAAGGCATATTTTTTGAACTAAGTGTGCATTCACTCAGATTATATTTTATGTATGAGTAAATAATGATGAAAGTAAATACGTAAAAGTGTGGAAAAATATAAATCACAAATCACTTTGTAAAGCAGAACGTTTGATGGATTAAGGTATATATATTATATTATACTTATATACTGATAAATGATTGACAACATACAATTGATTTAATTAATTCAATACGCAAGGTTATACTACTTATAAGGATACTTACATATAATATTTTACCACATCATCATTATTGTACACGTCTATACTTTTCAATTTTTGTCAATCCAAGATAAAATATTACTATTATATTGTTAGAAATAATTAATGTAATATAGAAAATCATTTATAGATATTGGTTTTCTTGATTCAATGTAGGGCTTTGTAAGTAACTACTTATACAGAATATGTAATTTAAATATTTCTTAGCCAAATACAATATTGTGAATATTAAATCATATTTTTTACTTATCAAACTCGTATCACTTTTAAGTATTTACTTTTTTATATATGTAGTGTAATTAATTAAATGTACAATATTTATTTATTTATTTTTTTAAAACAATTCAAAATTCTCAAATTATACATAATATTTGTACTTAATTTAATGTTCATATACATTTATCATACCATATTAATTATTATCTGACAAATTTGACATTTCTCATTTAAAACTTCATGTTGTCACTTTTAAGCAAAGTACACCTGTTTTCCAAAATTACAAAAAAAAAAAATGTTTAATGTTATCAATTTATTAATCTCAAATGTAAAAAAAACTTGTTTAAAATAATTTTAATAAATTACAATCATCGTCTTAGAGTATAATTAATAGTGGTTTATTTATTTTTGTACTTGTATATTAAAAATGACGTACTAGCAGTATGATACTGCTTATGCTATTATAATATCATAAGTTCATTACTTTTAAATTATTAGTCATTTACGAATGAGTTTAAATGTTAAGGTACTGTTATTCTTATAAAAATTGTCTGTCATATACTATTTAAAACTCTATACTGAATTTTACTATACTTAATTTTGAAGTTTTATTTTATTTTTTACTTGTATTTATAATTTCTATAATTAATTTCTATAGATATTTCTATAGATTATTGTAAGGTAGTATTGTTTATTATATGTTAATATTCAATACTAAAAGACTTTATTTTTAAATTATACTTATGTGACGCTACAATAGAAATCATTTTTAAATAGACAATTTCCAATTTAAAATTATATAATTATAAAGGTTTTCTGTTAAATTTTATTAATTACATTATTAATCAATTAGTTTATTATATTTTTAGCTAATAAGATCTTTATTGATTTAATAATATCATTTTTGAAACTATATTAAACTTGGTAATGTTGTAGATAGTTTAATGTGTATATATTTTATTAGGTTTAAAAAATAACTATTATAATTGAATATAAGTACATATCTAAAATATTTTAATTAGATTAATTCATTCAGAAATCTATTTAAAATTTTTTAAAGATGATTTATGTTATTTTTTTACTGGAATTGCAACTAAAAGTTTCCACAATTATATACAAATTTATTAAATCAGGTATTAACAAATTCATAGTTATGCAAAAAAAGAAATAGAAGAAATATCAGAAAGATCATATCATTTTATTTACGTATATTATTTATTAATAAAAATAAATATTATTACTCTTTCTCAGAATTTTCATTGCTAAGATTGGACTCTTTCTTTATTTGATTATTACACGTATTGCAATTAAACTATGTTTTTTACTACAAAAATAAATGTATTCAATATGTCGTTATATATATGTCGTCTATATTCCGTCTATTTGTTTTTCATTGAACTAGAATAATGGTTTTTATTTGAGAATAGTTGTTGATCATTTATCTATATAACGAGTTATTTTTTTTTTTTGTTTATGTATATAATTAATGTATAATACTTTGGATTACATATAATGCGTTTATGTTATTTTTAGTGAAATTCATGAGTAGGGCTTATTAAATTATGTAGAGTTCACACACATATATTGTTATATCTTATTATATTAAAGATAATTTATATTATATTAACAACGAAAATACAATGCAATATAAACATATCACGCATATCATTACTAATATAATAAAAACAAAATATGTACATTTTACTACAATGTATTGTTTCAATCGAGTAAGATATTTCATACAAGAATGCGATATAATTGTTGGTTGTTATAAGGTTTAAATTTGATTATGATCGACAATATCGAAAAGTGAAAGCTTTTTTTTTTTATGGAACTTAAAAATATCAATAACAAGGGTTATTAGTTTTTCCTTTTTTCTAATACATAATGTTACTATAACTATAGTTGTGAAAATCTTCTTAGATTAATAATACACTATACATTAATTATTAATTATCTTAATATAGTTAAAAATAGGTATTTCAGGCAGTACTATTAGGTATAATTTTCTCTTTTGTACAAACATATTTTAAGTATCGGCTTTTTTTTTAAGAAAGAGTAACAATGAAAAAATTCTTAATTTTACTACAATGGCTTATAATTTCTATCATTTTGGTATAATAAATTACACTATTGCAATAAGTGGCGGCCTGGACACACATTACTTGGTCGGTTAAATAAAAAAAGAGTCCCTTAATTTATGTGCAATTAGAAAGTCATGGACATAATTTTTCAATACATTTACTATAGGTTATGTTCCGTTTCCTCCAAAAAATTCGGTTCCCTGATTTACGCATAGCCCTATTTTGCCAGAAATGAAAAAGTTGATTCCCGTTTCCGCCAAAATGTATTTTTGTGAAAAGATGTTTGAGAATCATGTACAATTGTTATATATTCTTTCATTATACATTTTAATACAAGTAGATAATAAAAATATATTTGTCGAATATAGGCACAATTATATTAGAGTTTTTTTTAAATATTACATCATTTCATATTATAATATGTCTATTCTATTTAACTATTTATAAAGTATAAAATAAGTATAGGCCAAATATTGTCTCTATAGAGTTTTGAAAAAACACTTATCGTCATTTTTAAATATTTAAAAATGTCACAAAAAATATAAATTATAATACAAGTATATGTCAAGTTTTAAAAAAATACATTCTTAAGTATAGGTCAGGTTTTAAAAATCTTATAATTAAAGAAAACAGTTTTGACAAAAGTGTACATTCTAATTTCATTGGAATTTTTTTTTTGTAATTGCGTCTTCCGTAGTTTTTAAACGGTTTAATATTTTTTTGTTTTTTGGAATTTTTTTTATATTATTTTGGGCACTGTTAATTTTGATATATTTATATATATATATATATTTTGATAATATAATATTTAAACCCATCAAAAATCAACATTGTTTTACCTCTTTTGCTTACAATAAATTCCATTTTAAGAACGGTAAGTAAGTAAGAAAGTGTTGGTGTTGTTATTCTGGTGACAAACAGAACAGATATTGAATTGAAATATAAGAATTTAACATTTGTCAGATAATTATTGTGGGCGAATTATAAATAAACTATG